TGGATGGATGGGTGATGGATGGATGGAAGGATGGATAGATGGATGGATGGATGGATGGATAGATGGATGGAAGGAAGGATGGATAGGTAGATGGATGGATGGATGGATGGATTCACTGCTTTTCTCTGGGGTCTATATCCCCATCTACAACTTAAAGCTGTTTGACTTGATCTCTACGGGGCATCAAACTTCTGGATTCTCCTTCTCTAGAGTGAGTATCCTTATGTTCCCTCCCCGACCCCTCCAGCATACCAGAGCCTGCAAATCCTGAGAGTCATGCAATAACCCTTCGGCTGCAATCATTCTTTCCGTGAGAGTCACCATGAGCTGTCGGGCTTTGGAGCTGGAACACTTAAATTGGTCCATAAGAAAGTGCTGGATATTTTCCATCTGTTTCCAGAAAGCTTCCATCTGTGAAATGAGAATGAGAAGCAAGAAGGTGGGTGTAGAAAACTTATTTAAGAAAGCTATAAAGCTAGATGGCTCATGTCTGAGAATTACAATTCATTCCTTATCACAAACTGAGATTCTAAACAATTCTGCAATTCCGAGCGAGCTTATCTTGGCAATAATCGAGTTCTGTAGAGAGGTTCCTCCTCGGAGTATTGTAGGTGCCCGTCAGTTTCGAGGTGGCTTTTCAGCAAACACCAGTGCTCTGCTGATAAGGAAGGCAGGCACAATGAGATCACCCGGCATAAACAGCTTAAAGACTCTTAAACAGGCCATGATTGCTGCCTGGGGAGTGCGTGAAATTCGACAGTGTGCTCCTGGAAGCTTCCAGATCTCTGAAAGGGATTCAATGTGTTCTGGAAATAAAAGCACGAATGGCCATTTACATTTTAGTTATTGCCCTCAAAGTACAAAAGAGCAAATCTGGCAGAGACGATGCCGACCATGAAAACATTCTGCTTTGAAATCTTTTTCCTCCCCCCCCCCCCCACCCCTGCATCTCCTCAGGAGGAGAGGTGGGAATCACGGAGGGTCTCGGAGTATCGGGGCTCATTCAGCTGCCCAGAGCTGTGACAGCCGTGACATCGGCAGTCAGGACAACTTCCCTTTACCGCACACAGGTAGATGCCAGGCTCTATGCTTCACGCATTTTATTTCCAGGTGAAGTGCGTATTGGCTGGATGCAGGGACAGGCTCAGAAAGTTAGGTCGCTGATCATGGAGCTGACGGGAGGCAGGGGCAGAGTTGGTGAAGGTCCACCCAACTCCCCCAGGAGTGGTTTTCTTCCCCGTGGCTCTGCCTCTCAGACGCTGAATTCGTCTGGGCACCTCTGGCTACACTGGGCATGGTGGCACCAGAAGCCCACCCTGACCTTGTTGCAATGGCGAAGGGTGGAGATAAACGCAACCTGAAACACTGAGTCACTCTGAGCAGCCCCCTCCCAGGGGCTGGGCACGGCCGAGAGGAAGCGCTCACCTGAGTGCCCTGGCGCCTCGTGTACTCAGTAACCCGCTATTTGCCCCAGTCAGCTGGCAGCCCATCCATCAAACCTCCAGCCTCTCACCTGTCCCTGCCGCCAGATGACGTCCTTCCCGACGGCTCTAAGGGAATGTGACTGTCATCCATGACACCCCACACACCCCCAAACAGAGATCGATGTCCAGCCGGCTTTGGCACTTCTCCTCCAGCTCCAGGGAGCCAGGGTGCCCCTCTGTTCTTAGAAACTTTTGATTCCCTTTATGTCCGGAACATGATTTTCTCCCGGTCCCTCAGAGTCCATACTCTGCCTTCTTGTCTCAATTCTCCTTGACTCCTCCTCCTTAAGTGCCAGCAGGATCCAAGACTGGGCACCAGGCTGCCTCCCCTACCCACTGTACAGACACCCTGGCTGGGCGTCTCCAATGCTGGAGGTCGCCGTACTTCAGAGAATCTTGGGCATACTATGAATCATCTGTCTGAAATACGCAGACATGGACACACGGGTCCCTTGCTTCGGGAGCCTGAGGACCCCGGAATCCAGGCTGAGCGCCCTCCCTCTGCCATCTCATGCCACAAACATCCTCGCTCCCCGTGTCATCTGACCCGAGCTTAGCGGACTCTCTCCATCCTTCGGCATCTCCACCTCAAGATGTCAAGCCGGGACTCACCAGCTCCCCTCCCAACTTAGCTCTCGTTCTGGGGTCCTTATTTCCACAGTGCGGATCCTCTACACCCGCTTCTCCCCCAAACTTCCTTATCTGCCATCCTGTCAGCTCTCCCACTTTTTCTTACCCCTCTGCTCCTACTTGCATTTGCCTTCCACGAAATTCCTACCGCCCTAGCCCCAGAGCTCATACCTCTCCCCCACACAGCAGCCTGAGTGGTCCTTCTGAGACAGAAATGGACCCAGCCACATCGGCTGCCAAACTCCAGTGACACCCACCTCCCTGGCACAAGATGAAAACCCTCGGGCCGGATCTCTGGCTTTATCTTGCTCTGCCTGCGCCTCGGCACCCCCTGGCTCCCTTCTCTGCCAGCATCCCTCCCCCGACATCTCCCAGAAAGCCTGTCAACGGGTCTCTTCTTCTATAAAGACTTTCCTAAACCTAGGGTACAACGAACTTCTCTCTCCGCGGCACCCCAGCCTTCCGCTGTTTTCACCTATCACAACGCTTGTGAGCTCTAAAGTCTGCATTCTCCTCACCTGTCGCCTCCCCCGCCAGACCAGCCTGTGCATCTGTCTGGCAAGGCCAGGTCTAAGTTCATTCTGCAACCCCAGTGAGCAGCACAGTCCTGGGTGCCAAAAAATGTTTGTTTAATACCTAACGTAGGAACAGGGGGCAATGGAACTGAGAAGCAAGAAAAGGGATATTTGAGAGAAGCCACCCTGGCTAGAATTTAAACCCAGCTTTCACGAGTGACGCCTCGGGCTGGAGAAGTTAGCCGCTCACATCTGTTCCTAATGCACGGGGTGGTATGACATAGAGGGTTAGAGCAATCTTTGCTGAGAATGATCAAAAGATCAATCTAAAATTTAAACAAGGGGAATTCATTGGAATTCCCAAGGAACCTTGGCCCCTTAATTATACCTTCTCTATCACATAACTTCCGAAACTGGATCCCTGGCTCTGGGCAGAGCGCAACAGGGAATTCAAGTGTGAAACATGCTTCTAGAAGCCATCTCTTTAATCTCGCCAATTTAACTGTCCCAGAAAGCAAGGTTTTTATACAGGAAAAAACGAATCCATCGCATACATTATCTATTAGCTGCTCAGAGTATTCTCGCTCCTTCTTTTCCACATCTGCCAGAGTGATGTATTCAGAATCGCCAGTCCCCAACATTTCCGTGTTTGATAGTTTGACCTGAAGTCCCTTTTCTAATTCCTCCAAGTCCTGGGAAAAATAGGGGAAAAAAAAGCAAAAAAAAAAAAAAAAAGCAAGTAAAAAACCTAATATATCTTAAATTCTACAAAAGAAACGCTTTTATCTTTCACCATATTATCATAAAATATTTCTTAACCATAACTGCCCTAGGCATTGTCCTACTTAAGGTTTGATGACAGAAATCTATTTTTCTCATTAAACATAGAGCCTCAAGAATACTAGATTCTTTTCTTCTATACTCCTCATTCCACAACCGCCCCCCCCCCCAATAGAATGTATTTTTTAAAAACGATGAAATAATGTGCTTCACTCCTTAAAGTCCTGGAAAATACCATCACATCTGGGGGTTGGAGGGGGAATCCTTCTTCCCCACTCCTCTGGTTTCCGTGGGGAAGGAATACTCTCTACACCCTAGGGGAGGCGTGAAGCAATGCAATTGGTGGGTTCCACAGCAGGAAGTGTGCACCCATAGCTTGTCCAGCCTTTTCCTCTTTGGCATGGACCATTCAGGGGAGGCCATTGCTGTGGTGTGGCCTTGGCCCAGGGTGGGCTGGGCAGGCCAGAGGTGGCCAGCTTCGCCCCAGACGAGGCAGGCATTTACCTAGTCCTGGGTTTATGACTCTGCTGCTCAGCTAAGCCACGTCCTCAAAGCTGCCTTGTGAAGCTGACCTCTCTGTATGTGTCCCCTTGACTCTGTCTCTTAATCAACTCAGAACTGGAGCAGGAGCCCCCTCTGTACCGAGTCCTTCAGGCCCCGCCGTGGGGCGCGAGAGGAGCCCCGTCTCCTCCAGGACCATGTCGAGAGAACTGGAATCTGTGCCAGGGTGGCTCCAGCTTCATTCGGAAAAAAGACGTTGCTGAAAACTGCTTCTGCGCGTCCATGGTGAAGCTGTGCGTGATTTCAGGCCCTTGTCACTACCAGAGAGAGACGCTGGCTCCTGCCAGAGGGAGAGCCTGATGTTTGGGGAGTTGGGGTATTTCGTCTGGAGTCTCTTCCCTGTAGGAAGAGGCGTGCTGGGCTCGTCACTCAGCCTTGAGGACCCCAGATACCTGCGCCTCCAACTGCACGCACCCCCATGATGCTGCTTCTCTCCCAAGAGCAGCCACCGGTCTGAGTACCTTTGTCCTCGTCTAGAAGTCAGAGGGTCATGATGAGCATTAAATAAAAGTACACATGGGAAGCACTTGGCCAGACAACCTCTCGATAAGCAGCAGCCACTGCAGTGATTACCCTGCTGTCCCAGTACTGGTGGTGGAACCGGCTCCTGGGTCTGCAGACTACAAAGCTTGTTACCGTTTTCGTGTAACACAGCTTCGTTATTACTTGTGCAATTCCCAGTGTCGCCATGATTATTGTCATTTATTCACTGGAGAGTCATTTAAACCCAGCCTCAGTTTCCTCAGCTGTAAACAAATAATAACAGCTACTCCCAGGGCTGTTGTGAAGACTGAATAAAATAATGTGTGAGGGGGCGTCTGGGTGGCTCGGTCGCTTAAGTGTCTGACTCTTGATTTCGGCTCAGGTCATGAGGTCACGGCGGGTGAGATCGAGCCCCTTGTCGGGCTCTGGGCTGACAGCATGGAGCCTGCTTGGGATTCTCTTGCTCCCTCTCTCTCTTCCCCTCCCCGCTCATGCGCTGCATCTTTCTCTCTCTCTCTCTCTCTCTCAAAACTAAACATTAAAAAAATAATTAAAAAATCCAAAAATAAAAATACCCAACCTTGGGCAGAAGCTAAAGGTAACAGTGGTTCTCTCTGAGGAGCGGGTATGACCAACACTCTTCTCTTTTTCCTGCTTTCAGTATTTTTCCAAATTTTAATAATAACTGGTCATTTTTACATTTGTACACATACTTTTGTATGACTGCACTGTTCAAAGGCAAATATTGAAATAAATTATTTTTACACGTGAAAGCAAAAATAGTTTCATACGATGTTGTGTTTTACATATTGTAATAAACTCTTACTAAGTTACCTTGAGATACAGGTTGAAGACTTACTTACGTTTTCTTGTTTCGAAAGAATCCTCTGGTATAATTCATCATCAGACTTCTTTTTGGGAAGAAGATCAAGGAGGCACATTTTTAAAATCTGAATAAACATCTATGGCCAAGAAGGAAGACATAACGGAAAGGTTTAAAAATGGTCTCTCTCTCTTCCTACCTCCTTTCCTTCACCTGCTCCCAGCCCCTCACCCCATCTCAATCTCTATATATCTCTTCACACGTACATATTTTTACTATAGAAAACTATCTCAGATTATAAATCACGACGATAGCATTTTCATGAAGCTTCTAAAAAACATGCTCTATTTCTTTTGTTGTCTTTTTAAAATTTTTTTATTTTTTAAAAAAATTTTTAAATGCTTTTTTATTCATTTTTGAGAGACAGAGCGTGAGCAGGGGAGGGCCAGAGAGCGAGAGGGAGACACAGAATCTGAAGCAGGCTCCAGGCTCTGAGCTGTCAGCACAGAGCCTGATGCGGGGCTCGAACTCACAAACCATGAGCTCATGACCTGAGCTGGAGTCGGACGCTTAACTGACTGAGCCACCCATGCACCCCATATTATTTTAATTTTTTTAATGTTTACTTATTTTTGAGAGGGAGAAAGAGTGCAGGTGTAGGTGGAGCAGAGAGGGAGGCACAGAATACAAAGTAGGCTCCAGGCTCTGTCAGAGCCCGATGTGGGGCTTGAACCCACGGACCATGAGATCACGACCTGAGCCGAAGTCAGACACCCAACCGACTGAGCCACCCAGGCACCCCTTGATTCAAGAAATCTTCATTAGGCGCTTAACGTGTGCCATTCCTTCCACGTTGCCCATTTCCCTGTGAGTCAAGAAAATACAAAAGGCAAAGAGTGTTGCTTCTTTGTGGGAAGAATCAGAGGGACAGTCGTTTGGACCTGGGATGTATGACATCATCCACTCCAGCCTCCTGTCTGGATGGACGGAGGCCTCCTCTAAACCAAAACGTGTCCTCCCATAAGTGGGGACACCCCGAAACGTCCAAGGGTGCTATCTCCACAATTTGTTTAACCATTCACCTACTTTAGGACCTGAGGGCATTTCCAGTGTGGGGGTCTTACAAATAAAGCTGGTAAGAACATCCACATACAGGCTTTCGTGTGAATGTTAAGTTTCTCTGGGGTAAAGGCACAAGAATGCATTGCTGGGTTTTGTGACAAACTGCCTGTCTTCCTGGGCAGCATCTTATATTCCCACCAATGTACGACAGATCCAGCTTCCTCGCATCCTCACCAGAGTTTAGTGTTCTCATCACTTGTTATTTTAGCCATTCTGATAGGTGCCTACCTCACTGTGGTTTTAATTTGCATTTCCCTAATGGCTGATATCGTCAAGCACCTTTCTGTCTGATTTTTGTACGTGTGTGCTTGCCAACTGTATCTCCTTCTTGGTGAAATGTCTGTTCATGTCTGTTGCCCATTTTCCAATTGGATTGCTTACTTCTGTTGAGGTCGGAGTGTTCTTTATAGATTTGAGGCACGAGCTTCCTGTGGATACATGGTTTGCGATGTGAATGTTTCTCTTTCTCTTCTTCCTTAATGGGGTCTTTTGCCGAGCAAAAGTTTTTAATTTTGATGAGGTTCAATTTATTAGTTTTCCCTGTGTAGGTCACATTTTCAGTGTTAAGAAAGAACTCTTTGCTAGGGTTAAATCCTGAAGATTTTCTCTTCTGTTTTTTTTTTTTTTTTTTTTCCCAAGATGTCTTACATTTTACATTTATGTCCATGATCCATTCGGAGTTTGTTTTTGTAAGACATGGAGGTCTGGCTCGAGGCCCATCTGTGTCCGCTTCTGGTCACCCATTTGCTGCATATCATTTCCTGAAAAGCTTACCACTCCTCCACTGAATTGTTTTTGTACTGTCGCCAAAATCAGACACTTTGGTGCAGGGCGTAACACATATTGTTCTGCAAAGGGCCACTTTACCAATAGTAAGCGTTTCTGGGTTGGCAAGCCATACTGTCTCTTGTGAATATTGGACTCTGCTGTTACAGCATCGAGGCAGCCAGGGGCAATTTGGGCAAGAACAGGCATGGCCAGATCGGCCCAAGGGCCATAGTTTGCAACCCTCGTTCTAAGGTTTGTTAAACACCGTTCTGTGCCAGGCTAAGATACAGATTATCTCATTTGGTTTTAACAGGATGCAGGAGGTTGGTACAATCTTCCCCACTTCACAGCAAGGACTCTTGGCTGAGAAATCTGGATAAACTGGCCTCATGTCACAAGGGACAGCCATGAGGGACAGAACCCAGAACTTTCCACCAACCTTCCTTATGCTTGCCCATGCTAACGAGCTCTGGGAACATAATGTTGTCCTGGCTTCCTACCCACTGAGGTCGAGGCTGCATAAGGTAACGTTCTTTTCTCAAGATGTTGGTCTCAAACCCATTTTCCTTTTGACCCCAGACGGAATCAGTAACGTGTATCAGTCTTGCCTCATTCCTTTCAAGTTAAAAATTTTTTAATTTGGAAACTTTACAGGCTCAGAGGAATATGTCAACCAGGACAGGGTCCCAGGTGTCCTTCCCCCTGGATGACATGTGACATCACCACAGTACAGTATCCACTCCAAAACTGACATTGGTCCAAGTGCAGTTTACTGCAGACTTCAGTTTCCACTCATTATCACCGGCAGTCGTGTGTGTGTGTGTGTGTGTGTGTGTGTGTGTGTGTATTTTTCTGTGCAACTTTACCCCAAGTACACGTTCATGTGGCCACTGCCACAACCAAGACGGAGAATGTTCCAGCACCAGGAGAAATCCCCTAGTCCTAACGATCCCTCTAATGGCACCCCTCCCCCCCACACGCCCTAATCTGTCCTCATCTCTGTTCTTCTGCTTTGAACGCTGACAGATGCAGCTTCCCTCCACCTCCTGATGAGCCTAGTGCCACTTTCTCCCTCAGGGGCCACCAGGGAGCTCTAAGCTCCTGGGCTGAATGATGGTTGCATCTGGCCTGAACTTTAAAAAAAAAAAATTTTTTTTAATGTTTATTTATTTTTGAGACAGAGACAGACAGACAGACAGAGACAGAGACAGAGAAGGGGAGACACAGAATCCAAGGCAGGCTCCAGGTTCCGAGCTGGCAGCACAGAGCCTGACGTGGGGGTTGAACCCATGAACGGGGAGATCGTGACCTGAGCCGAAGTCGGACGCTGAGCCAACTGAGCCACCCGGGCGCCCCACCTGAGCCACTTTTTTATTTTACTTTGTCATTGGCACGTAGTCAACCACGGTGTTGCCGCAGTTTCAGCTGTAACAACACAGAGATCCCACGGGTTCGTACGGGGCGCCATCTGTCTGTGGCCTGAGTCACTTCTGAACTCTGACCTGTGGTGACGGATCTCTACCAGAGAAACGGAACTCGAGGTCTCTGCGAGAGCTTGCCGTGTTTCTCCAGGTCCCGCACCCGGCGGAGATGTGCCCCTCAGTGAGGGAAAGGCCACGCGTGGAGAGCAGTCCCCAGGCGGCCTCGGTGTCAGCGTGCACATTTCTACGGGGCACCTACTATGTGCGGGCACACAGACCTTACACTCAGCCAGACCTCTTCTGGGTTCTGTGTCTGCCGTTCACCAGCTCTGCGATTTTGGACAACTGACGCGACCTCTCTGAGTCTCAGGTTCCTTGTGAGGGTACGAGAGAGTAAGGGCTTCACTGAGATCAGACATACAGAGTGCTTAGCCTAGCCGAGTACGAGTGCTGACCGAGCAGTGCTGTGACAGTGCTGGTCACACCGCCCAGCAGAGCCCAGAGCTCTGCCCGCAGAGACGACTTCACTTCCTAGAAATTCTACGGGGTAAGAGCTGGAAAAACATTATCTTTATACCTTTCCTAAAGTGGCCCAGAGAGGGGAAGCGACTTACCCAAGGTCACACAGCCCATAAGTGTGGGAGGGTGGACTAGAACCCAGGTCTCTGACTCCTAATCCAGTGCTTCTGGAACTTTCCTAGGTTCCAGCTTATGTGTCTCCCTCCAGGGAAGCCTGGCCATCTCCCCCACACTCGGGCCCCCCTTACACATGCTCACGGCACTGTATCGTTTGTTCAGACCCACTGTCTGCGTGGTGTATTTGTGTGGTTTACTGCCGTGTCCCCGTGGAGAGTGGGCTCCATGCAGGTGGCGGCTGTCCTTGTCCCTGTCCCTGTCCCTGTCCACTGTGCCTGGCAGGGAGGGGAGGCTGCCCACATATAAGACAGGCAGGTGAGTGACGGTGGATGCTTCCTCCAGGTCCCCGCAGGCACCTGCTGTCTGCTCTGGGGGCGAGGTGGCCGGCACCATGTCACTCGCGAGCTGGATGGGGCTCCGAGCGCAGTAACAGTCAGCCCTCCAGGGAGCCCAGAGCCTTTGAGAAGATGGCCAGGGCCACCTGCCTGCAGGTGGGACGCGATGTGGCCGAGCGAAAGCAGGCGGGCTGCTGCCTCAAGGCGATGGGGCTCTCCAGGCACAGTGGGGCTGCCGGAAGAGGCTCTATTTCTGGAGTCCTGGTAGGATTCCTGGTTTCCAACACTGGCCCCTGTTTACGAGGCCCTTCCTGCTCTCACGGAGCCCGCATTTCTTTTCACTGCATCCCCAACTTGAGGTTTTTATTTTTCTAGTTTCTAGCGAAGCACCTCCCGGGCACGTCTGTCTGTGTCTCCGTTTCTACGTCTCCGTCACCCTCTCCATCGGTCCCTCTCCCCTTCTCTTTGCAGCAGGCCTCCCCTCTGTAGATCTCATCCTTCAGTCGATAATTTGGGAGAAATCATTCCTCTTTGTAAGCCCCCTGGCCCCGATGCCTGGCCGGCCCTGCTGTTCTGCAGCCACAGTGGGACGCATCCCTCCAGCCCCCCCCCCGCAGCCTGGATCCAGCGCTGATTCACTGGGAGGCCGGGGCATCTGGCAGAGATGAGTCTTGGTCCGCTGCCCTCTGTGGTTCTGATGGCGCCCTCATCCGCTCCGAGAACGCACGCCTACGACAAGGTGCCTGACTGCCCATCTCAGCTCCAACTTCGGGCTCTACGACTCGGGGTGAGTCCTTCTCTCTGTGCCTCAGTTTCCTCATCTGTAACGTGGAGTAACGATGGCACCCACCTCTCCTGGTTGTGGTGAAGTTCAGAGCTAACTGCCTGTGTAACACGCCCAGGGCCCAATACATAGTAAGCAATCAACAAAGTTAGTGCTCGTGAATACAATATTATCTTCGCTATCACCACTCCCTTAAAAATGCTGTGCTCTTGGGGCGCCTGGGCGGCTCAGTCAGTTAAGCATCTGACTTCGGCTCAGGGCATGATCTCCCAGTTCGGGAGTTCGAGCCCCACATCCGGATCCTATGTCCCCTTTCACTCCACCCCTCCTTCGCTTGTGCGTGCACGCTCTCTCAAATAAACATTAAAAGGAAAAACCTGGGCGCCTGGGTGGCTCAGTCGGTTAAGTATCCGACTTTGGTTCAGGTCACGTTCTCGCAGTTTGTGAGTTCGAGCCCCGCATCGAGCTCTGTGCAGACAGCTCAGAACCTGGAACGTGCTTCAGATTCTGTGTCTCCCTCGCTCTCTGCCCCTCCCCCACTCACGCTCTGTCTCTGTCTCAAAAATAAATAAATGCTTAAAAAAATTTTTTTTTTAAAAAAGCAAAAACCGCAAATCAAAATGCTGTGCTCTTTTCAATGCCTTTTACTCCCGTCTCCATCAGGACGTGTGCCCTGGGAGGAGGGTCTCATCTTTCCGCCCCGCCCCACAGCTCTGGGTCAAGTACAGCCTGTGCCCCATGAACAGGCACAAATTGCTTCTCTATTTGATTGTCAGAAGCCTTACACCCTGTGCCTTCCTGTCATGGAGGCTCCACTGTCCCTAGGACTCAGTCCCTGAGGGCACACAGGACTCGGTGCCCATGGAGGGCCTGTGTTCACGACCCGGGAAAGGGCGAGAAACTTGGCCGGCCACCTACCAGGTGCTTCTCCCGCCTCAGCGCCGTGTCCAGACGCAGCAGATCCTTTAAGTGAAGGTTATAGATACACAAGTCAAGGTCCACACTGAAAAGTCCAAAGAGAAACGGAAGGCCTTTGAGAGTACTTGAGGTGGGGAGGGGGGTGACAGGGAGGGAGCACATCCCTGCTCAGTACAAGCCTCGGTGCATCCCGAGCCCCGATTTTAAATTCTGCAGCGTGCAGAGGTTCCCAACAGCCGCCCAAGTGATTCATCCATCACTTGTGACCGGAAGGGAGCAGCTGTCTGCGACGTGACGGGCAGAAGGCAGCAAGAGACGGAGGCGGGACAAGGACACCCCATTCCGGCATCGTAACGTCTACATCACAAGCCCTCTCCCCTCCGCCCCTGCAGGCAGACATTCTCATGCCCATTTTACAGATGGGGAAACAGACTTAGGAAGTCAATTAGCGGTCACAGGGCAGGTAAGTGGCCAGGCAGATTTGACCGTTTGTCCGGGGTGGGCACACGCACTCTGAGCAGCCCCATTCCCACCCAAACCGTGACGAGCCCAGTAAGTTCCCAAAGCTCCTCAACACCCCTTCCCAGCCACTGTCAAGGTCAGCAAAGAGCTCAGGGTCTGGGCTCACTCCTTCCACAGCCCTGAGCTGAGGTTGGGCCCGGTTCATCTCACAGGGGCAGGGCCCCTTGGACGTCACCGAACTTAAAGAGCAGAGAAGTCTGAGGACCAAAGCACAACGCTGTTGCCTCTGTCTTCAGCCTCTCCCGTGGGCTGAGCAGCTTGGTGATTTGCAGCAAAGGCTTTGGAGATAAGGTCAAACCCAACTGTACCACTCACCTGCTGTGTGACCTCGGGCATGTTACTCAGCCTTTCTGTGTCCCTTCATTCTTTGTAAAATGAGGGCGGTGATAGCAGCTACCACATAGTGTTAAGAGGAATTAATTCATTGATTAACTTTTATTCATCCATCACTGAACCTGTCCCAGGCTCCTACGGGACACAGCAGTGAATAAAACAGACCCGGTCGCACTCGTGAGACAATTAATCCCTGCAAAGTGCTCAGTACTCTGCCCAGTACACAGAAGGCACCTGATCAGTGCTAGCTGCTGTTATGCAACGCCCAGGGCACGTCGATGATTCAACGATGCCCCTAATGTCTCTCCTCGGGGCTCAGGCTGGATTCCATAACCCCCACGTTGGCCAACGCCACATGGTGAGCTCCAGCTCAGACACTGGGTGGCTGTGTGTCTGTGGCTGAGTTGCTTAACCTCTCTGGGCTTCCATTTTCTCCACTGACAGTGATATGGTCCACGGGTCTGTTTCTCCATCCCTTCCCCCGCCTTACCTCTCGCAGATCAGCACCTCGGGGAAGCTGTTCACGCGGACGAAGGTGCGGCTGAGGAACCTGTCGTCACTGGCGGTCGAGTGGATGCTAGACGAGGAGCTACAGTCCTCCTTCTCGGCCTGGCTCAGGCTCCCCAGGCTGCTGGAGGGGGAAGCCTCCACCGGCTGGTTCGGCAAGATGGCCTGCTTTAAGTTTTCATGCAGAGACGGGTTGGAGGAACCGTCGGCCAGCGGCTGGGGTCGGGGGAGAGAAAGCTCGCTCAGTCCACATGACCTATCGTGACTTTGCTTCAGTACTTCCGCCAGAGATATATGACAGCAGTCCCAAGAGGGCCAGGCTGGGGACACACTGGGAGGGGAAGAGTAAACAGGTAGAGCCCCGTGCCCCAGGGTCACGCCCACATCCACACCCCAGGGACCAGGGTCATAGCTCTTGTCCCCAGGAGGCCAGCACCTCTGCACTAGGCCCCTACCCTTTAGCCATGAGCCTGGGTCTGCTCACCAGTGGCCCACCTACACCCCAGACCTGGCCACCAACTCTGACCTCCACCTGCTCCCTGCCCCCCGCCCCCACTGCTTCTGCCTCTGTCCCAGACCCCCGGCTCTGCTCTGTCCACTGACCTGCTGACCACCTGGCTCTTCCCCACCTACACTGACCTGGGCATCACCTCCTGACCCCAGGCCTTTGAGGTGGCTCCCCACTGCCCTTAGATAGGCCCGAAACTCCTTACCAAGGGACTCAAGACCCACACGCTGCCATGGCCACATGAGGTCACAGCCTAGTGCCTGGCACAGCTGGAGGGCTCAACAAATGTCAGCCACCACCTCTGTCCAGCTTGCTCCACTGCTCCAGAATGTTCCTGCCCAAGTAGTACGGAGCCGGCTGCCAGCTCCAAACCTCCCTCGTCATTCCATACTTCTGGGTCTTTCCAGATTCTGGTCCCCTTGCCCGCAACAGCCCTCACTCACTGTCTGCTGGGCGGAGGCATCCCTCCCTCCAGACACAGATCCAGAGCCCTCCATCCCTGGTAGCCCGGTCCAGCCCATGCCGGTTACGGCACACCGTCCTACAATCTCTGCCCAGACGATGAGGGCCTCCAGGGTGAGGACGATGCTGTCCCAACCACTGGATAATCCCCAGTGCCCAGCAGGAGCCTACCTGGCAAAGGGTGTCGACGATGAATAAATGCCCCTGGTCTGGGAGTTTTGCCCCAACACCGACCCACCAGATAGCTAAGTGAAGGAGGCAGTTCCCAATGAGCGTCCCTGGGAGCAGTCCCAGTACTGCACTAAAGTTCTAATCTGGGCAAGTCTGTGTTCGGCACAGTGAAATCATTTCTGTGGGGCAGGGATTTGCAGAACCTGGCTCTGGCTGTCTTCAAAAGCAAATAATAACCGAGGAAACCGAACAAGTCCTGAGCGCTTGGATGCCACATGCAGGGCTCAACCCTATGTCTATAATCCCATTTGACCCTCAAACAACTGGTGGAGGCAGGAGGGCCCATCACCCCCATTTCCAGGTGAAGAAACAGGAGGCCGAGTCAGGAAATGGCCCATAGTAACGGCCGAGATAAGAGTTAGGATGGAGTCTGTGTGACCCCAGAGCCCGTCTTGTTTAGGGCCCGGAGAGCAGGCAACATTTTCCTCCAGTACTGGACCAGGGACTCTTTCTTCCAGGGACAGTCTCAAAGCCCAGGGCTCCTAGAAGCACCGTGGGACGTGCTACTGTCTGCAAATCTCCTGACCGCAGGTGAATTCCTGGCTTCACGTGTAAGAGACCTATAGCCAGGGGACCTCGCACAGGTCATTGGCCTCTCTGGGCCTCAGTTTCCTTATGCATGAAGAGGCAATAACAGTATGATTTACCTTATGGGAAATGCCTAACGCATGAGAAATGCTTAGCATTGGGCCAGCCCCGCAGTCAGTGTTCAGCAGGGCGGAAGTGGGATCTGCGAATGAGGAGCGATGCCAGGAACCGTGTCAGGGCCGGTGTTTGTGTTACTGCTAGAAGAGTAGGGTGCTGCCCTACTGTGCTGCCACTGGTGTTCCTGGGGACACCTTGCTATACCCTGTCCCTGACAATGCCATCATAAAGCGGATTCATCCTAAAGTTTTAGTCCATTCCACAGCCTCAAAATTATCCTTGTTAAAATGACTTACCAGAAAACCCTCAGAGAGGACCCAAAACCACTGCCCACTCCTACTCCCATCTCTAGTGCATTACTGAATAATTGCGTTTCTAAGACGGAGCTGAGGACTCTTACCCGGAACTTCTGATTGATGGGATAGATGACTTTTGCCTTCAGTGCAAATGCTGTGATGTTGCTGTTGAAAGATGGCTCACATTCCTGGGGAGGAAGAACACATGGCATCGGGTGCTTTCTAGAAAATGAAGGATAAACCACAAAGAGTTGCAAAAATGCCACACCCCATTTGTAACTGTGGCCTAGGAAAGGGACTGTAACAGGCTCATTTAGATCCCAGTAGGTGATCACTTGTTAGAAGGATGGGTGGGTGGACGGGTGGATGGATGGGTAAATGAATAGGTGGATGGATGGACAGATGGACAAATGGGTGGATGGATGCATGGGTGGATGGGAAAGTGGATGGATGGGTAGATGGATGGATGGATGGACAGATGGATGGGTGGATGATGGATGGATGGACAGATGGATGGATGATGGATAGATGGATGGATGGATGGATAAATGGATGGATGGATGGACGGATAGATGGATGGGTGGATGGATGGATGGATGATGGATGGATGGATGGATGGACGGATAGATGGATAGATGGATGGATGGACGGATAGATGGATGGATGGACGGATAGATGGATGGATGGATGGGTGGATGGATGGATGGATGGATGGATGGATAGATGGATGGATGGATGGGTGGGTGG